CACGCCATTGTATTTTTGCTTCTGGAAGCCCCAATCCGAATCCTCCGGTCTTCCCAATGAACACATCCGGCTTCGCGGTCTTCGATTGGCAGGCCATCTCAGCCGAGATCCCGACCTCTGTGACAGCCGCATTCTTTGCCTCCCCTATTGAGGCAGCAGGACAGTTAAGTATGTGCTGAGACACTCGCCACTTAAGCCTAGACCTTGGCCAAACCCGTGACTCTCACGCTTACTTTATGCTGGTGGCGGTTTCTGGTTCCCAGAGGGTCACTTAAAAGTCCAGACGACCCGTTACTGCTTCCCAGAGGCGATTTGGCACAATGTGAAGCTGGAGACCAAACGCAGGTTGCTCTCTCTCTCTCTCTCTCTCTCTCTCTCTCTCTCTCTGTCTCTCTCTCTCTCTCTCTCTCTCTCTCTCCTCTCTCTCTTTCTCTCTTTCTCTCTCTATCTTTCTGTCTGTCTTTCTCTCTTTTCCTTGCTGGCTCTTTGGTGTCTGTATCTCTCTCTGAGGCTCCCTCGCTCCGTCTGTCCATCTTTTATATTATTTCTAACTATCCATCTTTATCTTTGTATCTACCTCCCTCTCCCACTCTGTTTTTATTAAATGATCTATCTAGCTATGTACCTATCTCAGTGCCTTTTCTTCTTTCTTTCATTCTTTGTTTCTTTCGCTTTCTGGCTCTTGGTGAATCGAGTGAGTTCTGTTGCTGTATGCAAATATTTTCTGTCTCTCTCGATCTGTCCATCTCTCTCCTAGTCTGTCTCTTTCGCTGTTTCCTTACTCGTTCTCTGAAAGAGTCTTTATCTTTCTCTGTCTCTGTCTCTCTCTCTCTCTCTCTCTCTCTCTCTCTCTCTCTCTCTCTCTCTCTCTCTCTCTCTCTCTCTCTCTCTCTCGCTCTTTGTCTGTTTCTCGCGTTCTCTCTTTCTTTCTATCTTTCTCTGTCTCTCTCTGACTCTCAGTCTCTCTCGCTCTGTCTTCTCCTCAGTAGTTGTGCCAGGCATGCTATCTGCAAGGGCACCAGAAGGCCACGGCCGAGGAAGTGAAAAAGCATGCCAATGCTATGGCGACGTCGTGACATGGATGGTGGGTCAGGCTGCACAGCTGCACATTTCTGCATCCATACATGTCGTTGGTATGAAGCTATTGCCTTGCAGTCGCGGATAACTCTGTCGATCACTTAATAAGTCTCCTCGTGCAGTTATCCATGCTTTTCGTTTTGCTGCCATCTGTCCTTTTGCCTGTTGGCCTGTTGGCCTCTCGCTCTATTTGTGCCCATCTTTCGACACTCTCTGTCGGTCCTGCTTCCTTCTCTTTGCCTCTCCAGGTCTCCCTCTGGTCTCTGGTCCTCCCTGCGAGGCTCAGAAGAGTGCAAGCTGGCGTTGGGACGGTCGGCATTGATGGACGGACACTTCGATCGATGGGGAGACCGAAAAGATATCTGCCGTGCTGTGGGTGCCATACATTACCAGCCGTGTGCGCTTGTGAAGTCATAAGTTATTCATGGCCATGCTGTGGCAATGTGTATATCGCACGTTCATTTATGTTCCGGGCCTCTTGGGGCTTGCAAACAACCGGCTAACGTATACATAGTTTGGTGCGGGTTTTACTTCCTTTTAAACTCATTGCAAACACATCTGTGATTAACTTTCGACTTCTGTCGAATAACACATGAATTCGCATTGCGCATGTTGTTCAAAGTTGAACCATTGCGTGAATGCCGCCGCTTTACACAGCATGGCTCATCGCACAAGTGCAATGTTGTCTCACGAGCGAGCACAGCTCGCCATGCTCGTCCGCGTTTTGGCGATTCGCTGGAAAGCGGATCACTGTCTCGAAGGAGATGCAGAGGACGAGGCAGATGCCTTTAAAATGGCGAAGTATCAAGTCAGAGATTTCATCAAGTATATGACCATGAGCGACATGGAAGAGTTGTTGTTCTTCGAATACAACGACGACCGCAAGAAAGATGATGACAGCAAGAAAGACGATGACAGCAAGAAAGACGATGACAAGAAAAAAGATGGTGACAAGCAGAAGACGAACACCGGCAAGAAGAAAAATAATCCGGCTGACAAGAGGAAGACCGACAAGAAGAGAAAGAAGCCTGCTGACAAGAAGAAGTCCGACAAGAAGAGAAAGAAGCCTGCTGACAAGAAGAAGTCCGCCAAGAAGTAGTGAGCGACGTCCAGGGTCACCTGCCCAGGCAGTTTGTGCACAACTGGCAGCCTCTGTGCACAGTACAGCAGAGGTTGAGGCCAGATGTCTAGAAGTGAACATGACGTATTCTAGTTCAGCCTTGCTCTGTGTTCTTGGTCTCGTTTTGCTACCGCTGCTGCACACACCAGAGCTGGCAGTCGCACTTGACACAAAGCCAGCTCCGCTCCCAGTATTCGATGCTTCGGGGCTTGTATTGGCCACATCTCCCTTTGCAGGCCTTAGGCTGCTAGCAGCCGGGGTTGAGGTCGCGGACGTTTACTTATTTATCGCAACTGCAACTAGCCTGTAGAATTAGAACAATGCTACGCACGAGCAGTCTCAGAATCAAGAAACTTAAAATGAGCGGCCGCGATTGCAAGTGGCAATAATAATAAGACTGAGCCAGCTTGAAGGAAATGTCCACTGCGGTGTGCCAGCATGCAATTCTGCAGCGGGGCATGACTGTGAGTAGCGTGCAACAAGGTTGCAGCTAATGACGCTCGGGCACCAACATGACATGACAGACAGTTTCTCTTTGTTGCTCGATCAAGACCTCGCCGCCCATCACTACCCGTGCCACCTATGTCAGCTTTCACCCGGAGTGCATTGGCGCGCTCCAGACTGATGAGGTGCGTAGGATGAAATCTGGTGTCGTGACAAATGACATGACATGGGCCGGAACGTGCGAGTACGAATTTCGGATGTTGGCCAGCCCGCAGGAGCGCAGGAGCCGGCAAGGTGGTGAAGCAAAAGAAGGTGATCAAGGCTCCCAAACTCAAGGAGACCAAGCAGCTCCTCCGCTGCATCCGTGGTCATGTTAAGTGAATCCCGTGCAAAGCTTTCCGATGACTTCTTGCTCAGGTGCCAGTACTGGCCTAAGACGACGGTGCCCAGGAACATGGGCGTTTTAGGCCACAAACACTTGAAAGACCAATGGAGGTGGCCCTCTGTGTTCCTGAACAAAGCAGAGGCCTTGCTGGGCAAGCAGCTTCTGAGGGAAAGGTTGCGTCAGTTGACCTGGAGAGTCGACACCTTCTTCTCCGGTGTCGGGTGCCCGGAGTCGGTCCGATTCTCAGTCGATGTGTAAGATCAGTGAGAACGTGTGTGTTCAGGAATGAGGTATAGACTAGACGGTTTGCATTCTGTCATGACATTCTCCCATGGCCAGGCCATGGAAAGCCTCTGTGCTGAGATGCAGAGGAGGTTTGGTGGTGGTGGTGGTGTTCGTGGTCGTGTGCAGCTGGGCTGGTCCGTGGAGTGGAAGCCACCGTGCCAACAATTCTTGAAAGAGACCTTTGGCAACTGCTGCTGCCCGAACATATTCCTCTTCGACGCTCAGGGCGGCACCTGTGAGTGCTGCACCCATGTTCAGTTCGAGATCAGAGCTCTGCCCCCAAATCTACTTGAAGTGTTAGGGATTGGGGCTTCCGGTACATAGGGCTCGGGGCCAAACCGATTGCAGAAGCAGAAGGCATGTCGATGAGCAGAAAGAGGAGTGTGAGAGCGACACCGGCACTATCTGGATGTCGCAATTTTCCTTGCAGTCCTGTCGTGGAGAACTGAAGTATCGACAGCATTGTCCATTTGACTAAAGAAGGGCGGAGACAGGTTTGTCGCTTGTCTCCGGGCCTGCATTGAATGGCACGACTGGAGGTGCTCGATGTTTGGACTCTTGAAACAGACATTCTCGGCTAGCGAACCCTTGTTTCTAAGCCCACCTCCACGTTAGTCCGACAGATTTTGACTGGGCCAGCATGTGTGATTCACATACATATTAAAGCAATCATAGGTCCAGGGCTGAAAACTCTGCAGAGAAGCGGCACCTCAAGCTGAGTCATACAAACAAAAAAAAGGGGTATTGGCCTGCTGTTGGGCAGTGATTTTTGCGGCCACATGCGGGCACTTACCATTCGCGAACTTGGCGGTTCAGCGGCGCAGATGACTGAGCGGCAGGGTTCAGAGGCGTCCTCATCCTGCTGCTCGGTCTTCAGTTTTCCATGACGCCCTGTACAGGCACATGCCGTTCGCGAAAGTAGCTGTGCAGTAACATGAAAGCCGCTCAGTGTCTTGGAAAGTTTGAAGACTTCGTGTCTAGAAGCAGCCCACTGCCAGGGTAATGACAGGAGATGTCGCAACAACATCTGTTTGGCCCCGTAATTTCTCAGTCCTCCTGCAGGGGTTGTTTTTTTGTCCTCAGGAGGGCAGAGGTTGGTCCCTGGGAGGGATCTTCCGAGTGTGGCTGTCCTGGGAGCGACCAACTATAGAGCTACAGTTGAGAGATACTGCGCCTAACTAGAACAGGTAAGGACGACTCGTGTACGACCGGTCAAGAAACGCTTCTTGGCGCCTGAAGAGGCGTTTGCATCTCGTGTGCTGCCAGTGGAGGCCTGGCAAGCCAAGACAGCCGGGACCAAACAGGTCCGAGTGGATGCAATGTCACGTCCCGCAGCTGTCAAGGCGTCCGGGAACGCGTTGTCTGTCCCATATGTTGCCGCAGACATCCTGACAGGCATGGTGGCGTTGTGCAAAGTTTCGAAATGGACAGCTCGGTCTGAACCCATGCAATTTTGAGCCTCGAGAAGAGTGACCTGTGCTCAGGGGAATCAGAGTCAGCGGCTATTCTGAAAAATCAGGCTCAGAGCATCGCATTCTGATCTTCGTCGCTGTCGTGAGAGAGCCTGTGTGCGTGACTGACGTCTTTGCGTCCAAACCCCAGCCATCATGGACATGATGCACTCTGCAGGCCTGTGCTCCAAGACGCCTTCGTACTCGTCTGTAGTACTTAGTAGAGCCGGCCCTGCCCATGACCAAATACGCGGACGCTTTCGCACTGTACGTGAAGGACATGCTCGGGGGAAAGTATGTCCAGGAGCCTTGCACAAAGCGTGTCCGCGGCAAGATTCCTGAGGGCAAGTTGACCATGTCGAAACTTCGCTTGCGCTGGAACATCTGCTGCAGTTGAGATTCGGAAGCATGTCGATAGGATGGTTTTATTTCCAGAATCTCAGAACTCACTTTTGCACATGGAGCCTGCGACCAAGGCACAATCTCTGCGAGAAGGGCAAAGAGAAGTGGGTGGTAGCTGCCGCCGCCAAGGCTCGTGCCACTCAGGAGATGCAGAACGTCTTGCTCGGCAAACCGCAGCACTGCGAAGTGCGAGAAGCGGCGCACGCAGATGCGCAGGGTGCAGCAGAGAACAGGATCCCTGAGAACTACGAGCCCATATCCTTGAGCTTCCAAGGTGGCCGTATCAGGACAGAGCGGCTGCTGGGGAAGGGGGCTTACGGGGAGGTCCACAGGGGGAGGGACGATTGCGGAAGACCGTTCGCGGTGAAGGTCGCTACTGTGGACCCTGCCATCAACGACCTAGCCGTTGAAAACTCCATCCTGGCCAACCTGAGAGGTCCTGGACTCGTCACCTCTTATGGCCTCGCATTCGCGGACACGGTCGGGGCCAAGCACACAATGGGCATGATGTTGGAGTTGGCAGACACCACGCTGCAGGAGCTGCTCTTGGAGTTGCCGTTCAGTCCTTGTGCCCGCTGGAAGATGTCCCTGCAGCTCTTGCGAGCTGCAGACTACATTCATTCCTGCCAAATCTTGCACCTCGATATCAAGCCAAACAACATCTTGGCAGTGTGGGCACAGAAGGATGTTTGCTCCTGCCCAAATCTCAAACTCGCTGATTTCGGCATGGCCGCTGACACCAACAGTGACAGAGTGCTTCGCCCTGGAGTTGAAGTTTTCACGGTGCCCTACAGACCTGTGGAGTGTCAGCTGGCTGGGCGTTCGGAAGTTAGGCTGAGCGCTGCTGCAGATCTTTGGGCCCTTGGTTGTGTCATCTTCCAGGTCATGGTCGAGGTCCCGCGGTCACCATCGCGCCTCTTCACCGTGGACTCCATTACCAACCTGACGCAGTCGATAAAAGCTGAGGCATTCTTGTTTCAGCTTCGCGACAAGCAACTGGAACGGCTTTCAGATGACACTCATGCTCAGCAGCTGATTCAGGGCCTTGTGTGTCCGAGGCAATTCCGTCTCTGCTGTGATGCCGTGATTGCCATTTGCTTGGAGCGCATGCGGTTTTAGGAGTTTTTGAACACCAATGCGTTTTCATGAAAACGCCGGGGTAATGTTATAGTGCAGGATGGGCTGGATACATCAGCCACTGTACTGGCTTTAGATGGCTATGTATTATGACGAACTAGGTCTTAGAATATTACCCAGGCGTTTTCAGGAAAAGGCCCGGGTAATGCACCAGGAGAAAACCCTGTGCATTACCTTTGGGGAGGATCCAGCCAGTGGTTTCCAAATCGACTGGCGCGGAGCAAAGGGATCAGATGCCAAGCAGCAGGCTACTTGCTTCGTGACCTTTCACACTTGATCGTTCCTCTATTTGATACTGCCTTTGTGGCACCTTGACTTACTGGCTCAGGTTTGGCCACAGAAGCGGTCGGCTTGGCCACGTGCTCTCTGCATCTGGGCACCAGGCACTTCTTCCTCAGAATTGTTTTCAGCTTTGAGTTGACTTCTCGCATAGTCATGTTCACGTTCGTGGCAGTATTTGGAAATGAATTTCCTTCCTATAACAATATTCTGATTAGCATGACTATTACTATTTGTATGTGTCTGTGGGTGAGTGACAACCCAGATGCTACAGAGCCGTGAGTAACCAGAAAGTTAAGGCAAGATGGATGTTGTTAGGGTTCAGGTGGTATGGGGTAGTCTTGACAAACTACTGGACAAGCATGCCCACTGCCTGGTTGAGAATGGCCAGACACACGCAAACACACACGAAAGATACCACCGATCCCGAACCCTATATTTTGCATTAAAATATGTCCATGGTACAATCTGCCCAGACATGTACATGGGGACCGTGCAGGTGCTGTATAGATGCAGTTATTTACATATTTTCATATATATGTAAATAACATGCCGTAGTATCTAAACGGTTGGCGCATGTAGACACTGCATGCAGCATCCGTGTTGCAGTCCAAGACGACTTTAGCGTTCCGGGGCTCTCACTAATCAGCCCGACACCATACCTTTTCTGCAGGATGTTCCCTCCATGCGCAAGAGCACAATCGACCTCGAGGCCAGATGCCAAGCTGTTATTATGGCATTCGCAGCTGTTGTCAGAATTCCATGTTGAATTTCTGCAGCTAAGCTAAACCCGGCAACCCTGAGGCCTGAACCTCTCCAGTCTCTCAAAGCATTGGAAGCTGTCCCAGCTCGACTTGAAGGTCGGGAGCGAGCCTTCAGACAGCGCAATCGCACAAGGCGGGGCGATATTTGTTACGTGTTGGCTCGCCCTTTCGCCTTCGTGCAGAATGCGGATACAGAATGTTTGAATACAATGGGCTTTAAGGGGCTGAGGGTTGTGGCTTTCAAGATTCAGAATGTCCTGCTCTGGCTAGGTCCCATTGAGTTAGGGCGTAGGCTGGGGTATCCTGCAACTATGAAATTATTACCAACTCGAGTCCAGAGCTCCATGCACAAGAAAGTATTCGTTTGGTGTTTGACAAAGACGTGCCTGCCAGATCGATCGAATGTTAGCTATGTTCAGATGTGTGACCCATTCGAGGCTGAGATACAAGCATAATGTCTGTAGATTCTTCTGTGCTACAGTATCTCATTTACTTTAGTCTGTTGCATTATGTGAAGAAATCGGATTTTACCATCTCCTAACATATTGTAGCATTCTCTGGGATGCCATCGTGTATGTGCTGTCTGAGACGGCTTTGTCAGTTTTAGGCTTGGTGACGCACGTCAACAGGTGGAGTTGAGGTTAACACTAAACCTGACAACCAGCATTCGTTTGGAAGGGGGGGGGGTGGGCACAGACATCCCTCCCTTCCGAATTCCCTCCTTCCAAATCGAAGGTGCTTATCTTCACAGCAGTTCATAATGTTAAGTTAGTACGCACCATGTTGAGTGCCAGGACGTGAAGAAGCACACGGCGCAAGTTGGAGGAGAGATTGAGTTGCCGTCTCCCCCCCCCAAAAAAAATAAACCACTATCTGTATTATCCGCGGACGGTGACTTCTACTTGTAGGACTTCTTGATATCTAGAGTATTCTACTGTTATCGTACATTGTCTAGTATTCCAGTCTAGTATTGTTCTAGCCAGTTTTTTTCGCATAAGCGTAGAATCAGAAAGAAGCAAGCCATGAGACAAGGATACAGGCAACATCACCTACCATAATCCCGTACATTATTCCATCCCCCCTTCTTATTGGTCACTGAGATTGGATGGTTCTACAACCGCCAAACCCAATTTAGTGCAGTGTCCGGGGCTTCCATCTTGAGAGCCTAGACGAGGGAAATAAGTTTTACACCTGGCCTACACCGACCCAATTTAGTTCAGTGTTTGGTGTCTCTGCTTTGTGAGGCCTCGCTGCGTCGCTTGGGGTGAAGGGTGGAATCAAATTCTGCTTATGCTTGCAGGGCAGATTCAGAGGGGTTCGACCTCCGAGTCTTGAGATTTTCATTCACTCACTCACTCACTCGCCCTAACACTTGAGATTCTGTCGTCCCTCCCATTCCCCTCATGCGTTGGGTGGTGGAGCGGAGAGCAGGGACATGGTACCAACTCCAGAGACCAGAGCAGCCAAGGCCCGAACCAACACTGTGTTTGGTTTGCTGTCTATTTTTCTCACAGACTCTCTCATGCTCTCTCGCTGTCTCTCTGTCTCTCTCTCTCTCTCTGCGCCTCTGTCTCTTTCTCTCTCTCTTTCTCTGCCTCTCTCTCTCTCTCTCTCTCTCTCTCGCTCTCTCTGTGTGGCTGTAGAGTTGAGAGCCAAAATCGTGGTGAATTCTAGCCCGACCCTGAGCCTGCCAAGCGTGACAGAATCACGAAGTTGCAATGCACAGGAGCGACGCTGTTCTGCAGTGCACAGCTCCTCCGGTTCAGAGTTCGGTGAGGGACTGAATTGAGTCTGAAATGTCGCGCTGCTAATGTTGCTACTGCGATCATCTGTTGGATCCCTGACATGTGACCGGCGCTGACATGTCCATGGCTCAGTGCCTCGCAAGACCTCGGCTTCAAGAGGAGCTGATGTGTCAACCTTCTTAGTCAGGGCTTGCATTCGCGAGGAGTCCGCCAAGCAAAAACATTCGGATCCACTGCCTGCGATGCCAGATACTGTAGAGCTTCTGCCAGTAATGACGAGTTATAATACCACGTACACTGATGGCTGTTCATGCCTAGAACGACTACTTAGTCACTGATGGGTGAGCTGCTGGCAGGCCCAGTCCGCTAAGACGAGTACTGTGACCAAGCTGCGTCTCGGCATCCGAGATGTCTCCTGTGATAGTTTCAGGTGCTAGGTCGTGCTTCTTGCTGGTAGTCGTTTCCCGAGGGTGAGGTTCGTTCTGCTTGCTTTTGACATACTGCATTATGCCCCAGCTCTGGGAAGCCCCGAAGATGATTGAATCTAATTCTGCCACAATGGCCAGTCGGGATAATGTGCACCGACATATTAGGGACCTGAACAGTTAAGACTCAGGCTTTGGGGCCCATTATGCTATAAGAATAACAAAAACAGGGAACCCTAGTTTAATTAATGATATTCACAAAGTGCACCGACTGCTGGGCCAGCTCTGCCGAGCACTCGGCCGTTGCCTCTCTAACTTCCAAGACTTCTGCTTGTGAGGTCCTTCTGCAGCAGTGCAACGACAGTAACAAAATCGACCAAGCACCTGAGCAAGGAACTAATAATTCAAACTTTGATTTCCCGAGTGACTCGAGCAAAGTGAGTCAAACCTTCAACCTTAGACCATCGTTCTTTTTCTGAGATTCAGTGCAGAAGCACAAGGCCTTCACGAAGAGAAGCCTAAATTGTATAACGAAGACCCGGTAAGTATCTAGGTAGTACATTATTAAGGTGACATGTCCAGAGACCGTGCCCATATGATCCTCAACGCACGAACACCCGCTCAGCCATAAAACGCGAACCACTACACGAGACACTGGCTTCGGAGCTAGTTGCCTTGAGCCAAAAGGCCCTTCGCATGTAGACCCGAAAACCACGAAACAGGCTCGCGGTTCTGGAAATTCAACGTTTCGGCTTTTGTGCAATAAGTCCGGATGTAGACTTAGACTCCGACTCCTCCCTTTGTGAAATCCTGTGTCAAGAGCCTGATCTTCGTGAAGCATACTTCGTGTCAGCCTGAGGGTCCGAGCATGCACATTTACTAGGGTTCAAGGATGGATGATAGGATTCAAGAATCCGGAATTTCGAACGCACTGTGGATAACCTGGTCAGCTATCTCCACATCAGAAAACTTTCTAACTGTGGACATAGGGTTCAACATGCTCCCCGAACGTTCAACCAAGCCGGCAAATACTGAAACCAGGTCGAAAGCCATGCTGAGCCCTCGCCACGCCGCGCCAACGCCCTCGTCACCGAACTCGGACGCCTTCCCAAGGCGAGGTCGCCTCGGCTCCCGACGACAGTCTTCAGTCAGTCTTAACGACGTTTTGCGGTTTTGGTCTCAAGGGTTTCCAGTCCCATGACAAGCTGTTTTGCCTGGGCAGATGTTGAGGTGATCTGGTTTCATATTTGCAGTTTCAGCCTGGGAATCAGAACCAGAAGGAGACTTTTAACAATCAGGTCACTAGGGCATCTGTTGGATCAAGCTTAGTTAACTGCAGTGCTTTAATAAATTGCAGCATGCCATTGACGTTTGAAATGCAGAGCCACCGCTCCGGTCTCTGCAGGCACAGCCGGGCAGCTGGTCGGACTTCGACCGCGGCAGCAAAATAGTCTCGCCTTGCACTGCAATGTAGAACTCAGGGTTGAGGTCATCGGTGGGGTTCCTGCATTGAACAGCTGCCCTCCATAATCCCCTCTGAGACACTGAAACTGTAAAAAAAGTATCCGCTTTTTTTCTCTGGTCAACTCAAAAGCCTAGTTCAAGCAGGGACAGAACTTTCCAGAGAGGAACTATAGCAGGCTACAGACGGCATCGGTGCATGAGCGGACCGGAATTGCAAATGTATGCAGAGGCATGGTCAGGTTCTTAGAACTCATAGCTGCATAACTCCCCGTTGTGACCTAAACCCGGCAACAGCCCAAACCCTA